ACTTCCGTAGTGATACTGCCTCGGAAACCCAAGGAGGGGTTGCTATGAGTCGGGGCCGACTCGACGGCAAACAACAACAACAACAACATCTAGACTCCTTATTACTTAGCTCACACTCTCCTTTAGAAGTCATTTCAAATTTTCATCACTCTGATGGCAAAGACATCTGCCTTATGTCCAAATCTGACCTTTTCTGTTGTAAGCTTAAGCCCCTTTGTGCTTTATTTCATCCTCAGTAGTCTGGGAAGTCACCTATGGGGGTTATCTGTCACAAAAACCATTTATATACTTGAAAATGATAAAAATCATCCCATATTTACGTCCTTTTTAGTCCAACCAAAACCACATTCTTAATCTTTCAGCCCAGGATATATTTTCTAGCTATTCAGTCATTCTTGTTGCTCTTCTTCAAATCCATTTCCATTTCTTTATATCATATTAAAATACGTTGACTAAAACAGGATGCAATACTATGACACAAGCATGACAAGTGTTGTGTAGAAGGGTGATTTTTTAGATCTCGTATGCCATGTGCTTTTCAATACAACTAAACTCTATATTTTCTTCCTTCCCTTCCTTCCTTCCTTCCTTCCAGATTTCTTTCTCCTTCTCCTTTTTTAAATATACACAATTGCCTTGTTGTTGTTGTTGTTATTTGCCATCGAGTCGGCCCAACTCCTAGCGACCCCTCCTTGGGTTTCCGAGGCAGTTATCACATAATTGCTATCACATGTTTATTGATGATTATCTTGACACTTATACCCAAACCCAACTTCTGCTCTTTAAACATAATGGGAATTTTTCATTTAATGTTCCCATTGATCCAGTCTTTTCATACCACGTAGCTGTTTTACCCCAGAAGTAGCTCCATGGTATTACTCACATCTTCTAGGATTCCCTATGAATATTGATGATTTTTTTTAGAATTCTAATATCTCAAAATTGTTTTTGAAATTTAGCCCCAGGTATCAATACCAAGATAAAGCCCACTAATATCTTCAGATTTAATTAGTGATTTCTCAAATCTTTTGTATGGAATTTCAACCAAGTAATTGAATCCAAAGAATTCCACCATGAATTCCAGAAACTGCCTCTAAATAAGTGCTCCCATTTAGGAATGGGTTAATGATAACTAGCCATTAAGAACCGTATACTACACCATATATTCTTACCTTATAAATACATGTCATATACAATAGAACAAAAACATTTTATGGAAATCAAAATAGATTACATTTTCAAATGCTTCTTTTCTTTCTGGACTGTCACGCAGCCACAAAAGAGAATTAAATTGGTTGGACATGATTTGTTTTTGCAAAGTCAGGCTGCCACTTTAGCTCACCTAAGTATTTCTAAGTTATACATTGATGATGTCTTTTAGTTTATCCTCAGATATTAATATTGATTCTGTGCTGAGTATATTCCAAGATGTCTCAAAAATTATTTCTATCAACTTCGCAGTGGAAGTTCTCAGTATCTTTTAAGTATTGCTTGGTGTATATCACACAAACTCTACTAATATTAATACACCCAGCCTTTCAATGCATGTATTTCCTCATTCAAGTTTGATTCATTCTTCACAACTAGAACTGCTTGCAGTCAACTATATGTAATCTTTACTTTACTTGGAAAATTAAATGTAGTAAAAGATTCTCTCTTCATCATACTTAATTATTACATTTCTATTCCTTTCTGTTTGAAAATAAAATGTACTGTCCTGTTTTGCATAATAAATTAGAATATATTTATCCTTAAAAAAAGTGTTTTGCCACTGTTTTGCTTTCTACTATTTCCATTCCCTTTTCAGTTTTCATCTTATTTTCTCCTAATATACAATGTAGAGTCTTAGAATCTGATCATCTATTTAGGAAAAAATACAAAAATACACTTTGTAGATGTTATTCCAATAAAAGAAAATCTTTGATACAGTAATAATCAAATAGAAATTTCAGAAAAAGCAAAGATTCCATTCAAAATAAATTTGTCTAACAAGAATTAGGCAAGATGATTTGTAACGAGTGATCAATAAAATAACGCTTAGGAAAAGGAAGACACAGAGAGGTGCATAAGAGGTACAGACAACAAAGAGAAACCATTTTCATATACATTACTGCATTATCAGTGATAACAACCATTAATCTAAGGGTTAATGATAGGCAAACAGGCTGAATGATCAGGTATGTCTAGGCATAAGGGCAGACAAAATTTCTACCTAAATATTGGTATATGCTGTAAGAATGCCCATATAACTAGAACTAACAGGGGGCAATGGATCTTAGCTGAAAGCAAAGAATACCAGAGAGATGTTTAGTTATGTTTTATTGACCATGCAAAAGCATTCAACTGTGTGGATCATAACAAATTGTGGATAACATTGAGAAGAATGGGAATTCCAGAACACTTGATTGTACCCATGAGGAACCTGTACATAGATCAGGAAGCTGTTTTTCAAACAGAACAAGTGGATACTGCATGATTCCAAATCAAGAAGGAAGTGTGTCAAGGTTGTATCCTTTCACCATACTCATTCAATCTGTATGCTGAGCAAATAATCCAAGAAGCTGGATTACATGAAGAAGAATGTGACATCAGGATTGGAGGAAGACTCATTAACAACCTGTGATATACAGATGACATGACTTTGCTTGTTGAAAGTGGGATGACTTGAAGCATTTATTGATGAAGATTAAAGACTACACTCTGTAGTATGGATTACACCTCAATATAAGGAAAACAAAAATCCTCACAACTGCTTCGATAAACATCTTCACGGTGGATGGA